ACATGGTACCTTCAGGAGGGCATATAATATATTCACCATTTTTTTCACCATTTAATTTCATACCTAAACTCTATATCCAAATATGGAGAGAGAGCTCTCATCTGATAACTGAATCTGCATTTAGCTGTCAATAATTCTAGTCAAAAAGGAAGATCATCAGCCCCTCTCTAACAGCATAAATACACACACACTCAAATTCTTGAGGCTTTATGATGAATTCTTGGCATGCTTTCTTTTCCCTAGCAATTTCCAAAGAAAATGAGCAAGAAGTTCAAGAAAAGAGTTTATAAAATTGTGGACTACACAGTATTTAGTGCATAACCTTAATTACAGTAGTATGTGGAAAAAAAGTCATGGTATGTCAGGGCATACCAGCAACTCTAAAAAGCTTGTGGCACACTTGACCTGAAATCAGTACCTTCAGACTGGGTATGTGGAAGAGAGCACATTATTTCTGGAAACAAGCTGAATCCTTATACTTGGCTGTTATTTTCTTTTTTTATTTCTTCTAGTCAGTTCAGTAAGGCATGTTGTGTGTGTGTTATGTTTACACTTCAGAGGAACAAAATCCTGAAGTGATGAGCCTAATAGGATCCATTACTAAAATCCTGAGAACATTACAGCTGGCAATCTTTTGGAGTAGCTTGCTAAGATTTTTTTTCTGCAGAGCTATCAATTTTCTTTCATTTTTCAAACTGGGAGTCTTCACTTAGAAGTAGAAAGTCTGAAAAGCAAGCTGAATCATAGGCCATGTACTATTTCTGCTTTAGTGCACAATATGCCACTGAGAAAGAAATAAAATGACCTCACTTGCTACCCTGTTAAATAAATTAGAGATCTGCATGACCTATTGTCTCCAAACCCAGGCAGTGCTAAAAGCAGGAACTCCCAGCATTTCTTCTTCCCTGATTTTATGCATACTGCTGTTTCTAGACCTCTGCCTATTTCCAGTTACTCCCGCTTGTACATTTAATAAAGTATATCTGTTGAAATACATTTATTAGAATGTGTGGTCAATTAAATTACTTTGTGTCTTACAACAAACATATACAGTACAATCAGAAGATGGCAAGTCATTGTCGACAGCTTCTATACTTTTTTAAACTGAAAAAGTATGAGTATTCTCAGTTTTACAGTGTTCATTATTTATGCATTGAGTCAAAGCTGTAGAATCTTATTATCAAAGCATAGGAGGAAATCTCTGAGTTTTACATCAAAGTCCACTGAACAGAAAAAGTTCTCTCTGCAGCAACAAATGTCAGGCCACCTTTACAGAGGTAAGCAAAAGTATTGATGTGTGGAAAAATTCAATGAGACTTGCATCTGAAAACCAAAGTAGAATGTTTTAAGAAAATGTGGTTTATATAGATCTGAGATGTAACAAGCATAAACAGGATTTTTACATGTCATAAACTCTAGTGTGGTAAGAAATGTCTGCCTGCATTGATCGGAACCAGAATGCACGGGATGCACACACATTGTTTCTTTTATTCAAGTGCCTTCAGCCAGCATTCTCACCCTCTTTGCATGAACTGAAGGATCTTGGATACAGCTGTAACATTATGAGAAAGCACGAAGAAAAGTAAGGAAGATGCAGTCAACTAACCATCAATTCAGAAGAATAGCTAGGACAGCAAGTAGCCATTGTTACTTGAGTATTACCTGCAAGCTTCCCACTGAATATCAGTTAGGCTGATTGGTTAATGTAAGGCCACAAAGAGTCCTAAATCTTATTCTAGGATTAATTAATACCTGCATCCAAACTTCAGGTTATTAAAAACAATGCACAACAAGCCCCTGAGACCACAAATCTCTGTTACTAAGCAGAAGTCACACAAGCTCTGATATTGACAAGCTCCTCAGAACTAAAATTCTTGCAGAGTACAAGACTTTCAAGGTGGTCTACCAACAAAACAAAACAAATCAAAAAACAAAACAAAAGCATTTTTATGCCTTGCCAGACCCTTGCACAGAACATAACACAATATTGCTTCGTGTAGCCCTGTGTATAGAAAACTGTCCAAGGCTAAGCACGTTATTCCATAATTATATTCTTCAGGGGTTTTTTTTTTCCCATTCCTTTGATCATTGTGTCTCATCAATTGTAACTACTTACTGAAAGGAAGTGAAATAGGAAATATCATGCTTTTCAATTGTGTGCAAGAACAGGAATCAACACATAGGTATGTAAATATTCCCCCTTTTGTTTGACAGTCTTCAGTCTTGATGAAAAGATTAACTTTCTTGCAGATTTAGTCAAAGAAAACCCAAAGCAGCATTCCTACATTTGCTATCAATAGCCAGAATAAAAAGAAATGTACAGACTAAAAACTATATTTTATCTTTCCTTCTTCTTTATTTCCCCCAAATCTCTCATATAATCCCTGTTGCATAAAGCATACATATAGAAATGTATAAAATGACCAAGTATGGTTTAATGCCATTTAGCCTATAGCAAGGCTGTAAGCCAACTTGGTAACCCTTGACTATTCTCAGGCAAACCTATTTTTCTTACATTAGTCTTCACTTTCCAATGAATAAGAAAAGGGAGAATTGCAATGTTATCACTCCATTTAGAGCATAGCATTCATCAAACCAACCAGGTTTCTTGGTGAATTGCACAGGCCCAAGCACACAGTCCCCCAAGGTGCTGGTCGGGGTGAATGAGCTCATTTGCACCAATGAAGTTGCTGGATTTAGACCCACTTCATACACCTGGATTAATACTAATCCCTTTGTTTTGCTTCACTACTTCAATGTGATATATCATAAATGTAGTCAGGTGAGTGATGCCTCAACTGACATATTTATATTCCCAAAAGGCTGTAGATGGAATAGGAGCAAGCCAAAGTTAATTGAAAAGAGATTTCTTATAAATACTTATGAGAACTCATAGAACAAAGTACTCTCAAGTGACTTATCATTCCAACAAGTGGTTCTTCAAAATGAGCTTCCATCATAAAGCAATGGTCCCAGCTTAATGATAACAAATAGCTAAATGTGAAAAGATATAAGGCTTGTAAGTATGTGAAATTATTTGATACTTTAGTTGAAAATATAATCTCTGCTTTGATTTTGCATTAACCAGATCAGTTTTTAAGGAATAATGCCTTAAGTTTGCTTAGTTATTTGAAGAATAAGATTGTTGAAACTTTAAGTGTTCACCATGGGGTCTCAAGTAGACTTTATTTCATTCTTGATCTCTCTCTAGATGTACTAAACCCACTAAACTCATTCCATTCATGCTGTGTGAAATCAGAATAGTAGATCTTGTCTAGAATAGACTCTCTTTTCATTAGCCTTTCTAACCCGAAGTCTCATAAAAAGAGAACAGCAAAGGCTGATCCTTACATGCACCATTGTCACTTATTGGCACGTGGGTATTTCATCAAAAGCAGCAGCAAATTGTGATTTCATTAACAGATGAAGTTCTATTCTTCTATTGAGAAGCTTTTATACCATAGTGCCAAAATACTGTGTAAGCCACTAATGTGAAAAATTTATCTTCCACATCAGACATACTGACACAAAAAAAAACTTTAGTTGCCAGTAATAGAGAGGTAGATCCTAGAACACTTCTACATTATTCCTGAAACTTAAGACATGCCTCTTTTTAAGAAAGGGGGGAAAAAAAAGGGGGAAAGAAGAAAGCAAAAAAACTACAAAAAAAAAAAAAAAAACCAAAAAAAACAAAAAAACCAAAAAACTTCAGAAGCCAGCTGCAGACCCCAATAGATCTTGATCCTGGTAAGATGCTCATGGATAGAGCAGCATATGGAATTTAATGCCATTTATTGCATGACCAATTAATCTGGAAAGGAAAACTCCAACCCTAATTCTAAGATAGCTTCTGATTCCTTCAGAAATTCTGGAAGTGTAGACAGCTCACTGAAAACACCATGCCAAACTATCAAATGTATCAAAAGCTTACTGGTTAAGGAAAACAGGAGTAAACACTCAGAAATCAGTCTACACTGAATATCATCAATTAATATTGAACCTGAGAGAGTCTACTTAGAAATCTTGCACAGGGCAGACATAAAACCACAATCCCATAACACTAAGACTGAATAGAGTGAAAACTAATGCTTAAGCATGGCTACAGAAGACAAAGGTCTTCAGAACTGACAGGACTTGTAAGAAATGATGTATTGTTTCTTGCAAGAGGAAATGGACACTTGTCAAGTTTAATATTGTGAAGAGAAAGCACCTCTGTATACCCTTCAAATTTAGTTTTGTCTCTCATTAAACAAGCAGAATTAGTTGAGCCTAGGCCACAACTCATCCCTTTTAGTGTATGTTTAAGCAAAGGTAAAAAGTAACATTTCCTGTCTAGATGGGGGTTCAATAGGAGCACATGTGTAAATATATACATTTGTACCTAAAGCCACACCAACTCACTCTCCTAAGTAGGCAGTGGTGAGCACCTGAGAGCCACTTCTACTTTATATCCTTGGCTGTGCATTCTAGGGAAGCACTGGCAGTAATAGGATGCACAAAATTACTTTAAGGCCTACCATTAAAAGAAATGTTTTCAGTATTATGACAAAAGCTACTGAAAAGCTTCTACAAGCTTTCAATTGCTCAACAATAATATTGGTTTTTAACAACCTTCTCACCAATAGGGCTTTACATGGAATATTGCAGTATTTTCCTTGTCAATTCAAAATAGGCAAGGAATGGGATTCTTGGTAACTTGTTCTTTACATTTTGAGACAATCCTTTTGTAGAGAACATGCAAACACATACATAATGGAACAACTTAGGAGTTAGCTGATTGATCTCAGTGCTTTTGCATTACAAAATACTTCAAAATACTCAAGACACCAAAAATAAAAGATTAAGAGGGCCTTTTCAATGGATTTATAAATTTAAGATTAAGTTAATCAAATCTGAACACGGCAAGAGAATGTTTCTGTGTGACAGCACAAGTGTTTACATCCATGAAACCAAGTGTTCATGCAGAAAATACCTTAACAAGAAACCTTCAAAAGACAAACTTTTGGTAGCATACTCATAATTTATTTCAATTAATCCACAGTCAAATTACAGCAGTTTTTGTTAGGAAACCTGTTTTAACAACTGGTGAGATGTCTGTTTCAACATGATCATTGAAAATCTATCATTTAAGCCATTGCTTGTCTCAATTCTACTTCCAAGACAATACTCAAGAGGTGACAAATCATCCACCCAGGAAATCAAACCGATGTTTAATGTCAGTTCCTGGCACACGTCGTCCCATCCCTGTAAAAGAAGTACTATTTAAATTGCAGTCAGCATTATGCACACACAAAAAAGGCAACTGTTCTAAGGCTGAGCTACACGAGCCTTCTACATGACACTAACCTTAGGCCAGAGCCATTTCTCAAAAGAAATTACTTTGTACAGGATGGGATTTGCTTTTCCCATACCATTAGTATGAATTCCATTCCAAAGGACCAGCTATATTGGAATAAGCAGACCCAGAACTATCATTGGCTTTCCTCTGATTTTTTGCTATTTGTTTTTGGTTAGATCTATATAAAGTTCTACCAGTTACGACACAAGATTTTCACCAGTCAAAGCTATTTTGCTTTCTTTTCCATCAAGGAGTAAATTAAACTCCTTCAGGAATAGAAGACAATGCAGCCACTATTATCTGATAATCCTATTCACAATTACATCCCTGGAGACCAAACAATTTACAAGAAACTCTTCAGCTGAGACATTAATCACATAGGTTCACAAAGCACAATGATTTGAGAAACCTGTGATATTAAGATTCATAAGAGGACAGTTCAAAGTCTTTTTACAAACTATTAATAAGTTGATTGGCAGCTTCCTGAAGTTGAGCAGTTATACAAATGTGTTCCTCCTAAGCATGATCCAAAGAAGAGTTTCAACCTCACCTCTGGGTTTGCAAGAGAACTTTTATACCCCTCTGTGTTGGCCACTTAAGACACTGCCAGACTTAAGAGGGCAAAGCATAAAAGGGAAGTAGATTTTAATATATTGTAGTGGTTTCTTATCAACTAAGATCATCTGAACTTACTATTTGCTCAAGAGATTCTACAATTTGTTTGAAACTTCTAAATTTTTAAAGAGCAATATTAAAAACCATTGGCAATTGTCATTAGATGAGAGCACTTACCTTCCAGTAGAAGGCATTATTTATTCCTAAGAAGTCCTGAGCACTGCTTCACATTTAGGTGTGACTACCCATGTCTAAAACATTTCAAGCATGAGGTTGTTATGTGAGGCCTCTAAACAACACACACAAAAAAAAGTAAAATTATGATTAATACTGTTCAACTGAAGTTAAAACTCTAAAATAAAGTTTATTCTACACAGTTGCTACTATGTTGTTAAACATCTAAAAATTAATTTTCCATGGAGTGGCAAAAGTCAATTTACAAAAAGTTCATTTTTAAATCAAAACCTAGAGCATATGGTAATTACTGGTTCAATCTGTTGATAAGGCATGTTTATTAGCCCAGTTAAGCTACATAGAACGTATTTTTAACATTTTTTAAAATATTCTTTTAATCATAAGCAATGGAAAGTTTATTAAGCCTAAATTCCTTTCAGTGCTGACACTACCGAGGTAAACTATAAACATGCAGATTTGACTGAATCTTTGCCAGATAATTCATTGCTACCTTGTGTCTACTCACAGATATATACATAAATCGTGTACTTGTTACAAATTATACAGCACTCAAGAGACATCAAAGGACACTGTTACAGCTGGACTGGAAGACTGCAGGGAAAGCCCAAGACAGAGGTTTTTTTTTTCTTTGTTTGAACAATTATTAAGCCCATTTAAGCCCAAGTCTAAACATCACAGGTTATAATTGCAATTTTCTTGATGGGGCCTATAAAAAATCTAAATTAACGCAGTGATTCAGATTTAAGGTCTGCGCAGCTCAATAGCTGCGATTCAAAATACGGAAGAGTGTAAATGTAGACAATTATTTTGGCTCAGAGACACAGGGCAGCACCCCATATATCTGTTTAGTCTTTTAGTCTCAGGACTCAAAGCCCTCCACTTCTGAAGCCCAAGCTTTTCTTACCAGCCGCAGGCTGCAAGAGGAGCGCTGAGCTCGGTGCCCCTCACCCACAGGCGTCCGGAGGCCTGAGCACAGATCGCCAGCGCTGCTCCCCGCCCAGGCCTGCCGCGCCCGGCCTGCTGCCCGTCGGGGGCATTTGAAGGGCTCGCCGGTTCCCCGGGACACACTGCGGAGGGAGAAAGGCATCAGCCGGGCAGCAAGGGGACCGCGAGGGGGGAACGGAGGGACGGACCATGTGTGCCTCACGACAGGATGCAGGGCGGAGGGAAGAGCTCCGCACTGGGTTTTAGTGAGGGAAAGCTGCTCTATCCCCCTGTGTTGACTCCCCGGAGCACCGCCAAGCTCCGAGAGGGCAAGATGTGAAGGGAAAGCCGCACAGGTTCCACCCCCCAGGCCCAGAGCCCGTCCGCCCGGGCGGTTTCCCCTGAGCGCGGCCGCAGCCAGCTTACCGCGCCCCAGCCGGCCGGCAGAAAGGGAGAAGCGTGCCTCACCGGCGCTTAAATACCGCCCAGCAAAAAGCTCCCGCGAGACCCACGCGGCTCCGGCCGCCGCTGCCTATTGGCGAGGACAGCGCGCGTGACCTCGCCCGGGCGGGGCGCGGCGGGGTGGCCGAGGCGGCGGGCCCGGGAGCTGCTGCAGGGCCGCGCCGTGGCCGCGCCTGAGGGACCGGCCCGGTTGCTGAGCTGTGCTTCCTGCGGCGGCACCCATGGGTCAGATCAAGGCTGTCGCGGGGACGTGCTCGTCCGTTCCTGCCCAGGCCGAGTTCTGTGCCCGGGAAACAGAAGTGTTTTCGGTGCGAAGTGGCAGCTGTGTAGCGGGCTCGAGGCACTAAATACCGCTGATCTCTGTCTAAACTCCTGTCTAAGCCTGCTTAGGAGGCTTAGGAGCTGTCTGTGAGGATGGTGGGGTAAAGCCGCGGGGCTCGCTAATGCCCTGGCCTGCAGCGCGTGGGCTCTGCTGGGGCCGGGCCTGTCCTGCGGGGCAGCGCCCGGCGCGGGCACAGCGCTGCTGCTCTGCTGCCCCAGGTAAAACGGGCTGCTGCTAACAGGTTTTGGAGTGAGTGCGAGCAGATTAGCATAAACAGGGAATTAGTAGTTTGTACAGAGCCTTTGTATGTTGCCCAGCAAAGCTGGTAGGTAGGAATCACAATGTGTCATACTGAGGTGGAAGGGACCCGTCAGGATCTTCGAGTCCAACCCTTGGCCCTGCACAGGACACCCCAAGAACCACACCCTGTGCCTTGAAAGCATTGCCCAAACTGAATTGACTGGAAATCCCTGCTTCTCAAATAGGTGTGTATGTTGTGTTAATTCATACCTTCCTGTCTAAGTGAGAAACAATTTGTCCTGGTTCATGCCGAATTACTAGCTGCACAGCGCCTGTAAAGTGTGTGGAAAGAAAATGACGAGCTGGCCCGCTATCCCTAATCTGAACCCTGTATTTAAATTAATCTCAGCAGAGCTAAAGCGATCTGATGCAGCCAGAAACAGTCACATAGTTGCAATCAAAGGATGATTCTAGAAATTGTTTCCTACTGCTTCTAGTTACCTCTTCCGTCTAATTCTTTATACTCAAAACATTGTTGCAGATTAACCCTGTGACAGTTTATTGTCTGTACATCAAGGTGTACAACCTGTCTTAGGACTCCAAGTAAATCAGTCTCTATAGATAAATTTGTGAGACATGTAATTTTAAGTTATTTCAAGTGGGCTCCTTTGCAATCACTATTTTCTACAATCAGATCAAGTGAGATCAGTCCTTTTCCATAATGTAGTCAAAAAAATGAAGTGGCATTCAACCTTTAAATTTTTAGCACTTATACCAGTGGGATTTATGTCAAGTTTGGTTTCTTCTTGTCCAGTACAGAATGTAAACTGGCACTTCTGTTACACAGAAAACCAGCAATCCACAGCAAACCAGTGATCAGTATCCATCCTAGTTGAACATTTTAATCATTCACACAATCCTACACCTTTTTCTTGCCCTTCACAAGCTTTCTTCTGTTTTCCCATACAATGTTTGTATTGTTTGCCTTTTCTCTGGCTCCATGAAACTTTTGTCTGATAGTGGCACGACTTCAAGAGAAGAAATGCAGCGTCTACCTGGCCTGCTTGTCCTTTTCCAAACCTTCTCTATAGAATAAAATAACTGTCCTTTAATAAATTACTGCAAGGATCAGATGTGGATTTGAGCCTCTTTACTCGCAGGTTAGTTCTCCCATTTCCTGTTAAAGTGCTATAAGCACTAAGTTGCTGCCTACAAGGCTGCAGGCAGGTCTGATGTTTCCATGTCTGTGGGATGTAACTTTTATCTGAATTAACTTCTCAGCTGGGCACTGAGTCTGCCTACAACCTGGGTACTTTGGGGACTTGAGGGAAAGACCACAATATTGGTGGATCTGGGTACAGGCTAATTTTGAGATTACCCTGGATCACTCACTAACTGGGAGAAATACAGGCCTGGTCATGAGCAGAATTTGTAGGAAATCCAGTTGTCACGGGGGCATTTTGAAATTTATTTAATGGCAGCAGGGTGTCTTGGTTATTTTGTGTTGAGATTTTTAAGGAGTAGGATGAGCTGAACTAACTTGTTCAAATTTTGAAGAGTGGTGCTCTAATTAGCCAAGTCTCTCTTTGTCACATGCAAGAATTAAATCCCAAAGTCACTGCTTTGATGCTTCTCACAGAAGAAAGACTCTTGAAAACAACTTGTTTAACAACATCAGGAGTTTATCACAATGTGCAACTGTAATAAAAGTTTCAGTTCAATTTTAATGTCTTCCTCCACACTGATATGAAGGAAAATCAATCAAGTAAAACCTCATTGTGACCGTCAGTCTTTGCAGGTGGAATACCTGCAAAGTAGTATAAGTATTCAGTAGCACTAAATAATTGTCAGGTTTGGAATCTTAGAATGTAATAGCCTTTTTTTTATATTTATACATATATATGTGTGTGTGTGTGTGTGTGTGTGCATTTGTGAGTGTGTGTGTAATTTGGTTAAAACTTTGAGATGTAATGTAATGTAATAAAAGTGTAATTTAATTAATTTATTCACAATTTAATAAAATGTAAAGGCTATTTTAATTCATGCTGAAAATAGACTAAATGTCACTTATAGCTTATCTGTCCTTTGGGGTTTTTTTGTCCTCAGTATGCTTGTGAGTTAAAATTGGAGACTGTAAAATAGAATAAAACTAATAAACAAAATCTTTGGAGAAGAAGAAGACAAGCCAAAATCATTATTTCCTTTTCAGAGGCAGAAATACCCATATATTTCTGTAAAAAAAAAAAAAAAAAAAACAGTTTTCTGGGGTTTTTTTTTGCTCAGTGAGTCTCTTTTTGTTTGATAAACTACTTCCATGGTTAAAATTTTTGGTTAACTCTTTCCAGCCAATATGTATGATTAGAATTTAAATAGTATTTTTCCACCTGAAAGCGTATTTTGTATAGGTAAGAAAAATGCCAGTAAAGTTTGCTAGTGAGCTCCCTTCCTGAATAGTATACCTGATGAAGAGGCCATTCATTCTCCAAGAGTGTTCCTTTTGGAAAGGTGGGAATATTTCTACTTGAGTAGTGAGTGTGGGGAAGGTTAGTATTATTTAAACTGATGAAGCAATACACTGAAGTTCTATTATTGTCACTGTTGCAAGCTCTTAACAGAGTGAATTTGAAACTCAAGCAGAAGGAAAAGGGCAGGAGTAAGGTACGATGAGATAATCACAGCTCCAGGCCGTGATCCACACTGGACTGGCTGCAGAGGCTTTAACAGACTCTTCATAGAATGGAATGGAATGGCTTTCACTGGAGAACTCTTGGACCACTTATATCTACTCAGCTTTTGGTACATTGACATCAATGTACTTGCATCTGCCTTATTCTGCTGCCTTTGGGCTTTCAGATCTTGTGTTTGGCCAAAAAAAGATGATGTCAGATGCTGTTGCAGTGTGGCAGGGTGGTAGAAATGCTGCAACCTTCTTGAGGCATCTCAGAGTCTTTGAAGCTGCTCAGAGAAAGGCCACAAGAACAGCAATTTCAAGTCCATGCACACACACACACACCACAGATAGCTCAGTGGAGCAAAGACAGGAAGGGTCTTTGCGTGGTATATTGCAGTGAGGGTTTACTGCACCCACCCCACCAGAGCGACCAGAGACAAAACACAGACCCCATACGTGAGTGTGGGGTCAGTGACCAGTGACCTGAGGGCACAGGGATGGGCACAGGGCAGCAACCTGTAGGGGGTGAGGGGTGAATAATCAGGGTGGGCAGTGTCAGCTGGGCAATGGGGCCAATCTAAAATAGATTGGCAGTGGTGCTGTAGAGTGTCATGGGTTGAGTCCTCTTTATCAGCTTAGGTAGGAAAAACTATGATGTATTCTTCCAAGGCAAGGCCCTGGGGATTTCCCTGAGGGGGAGGAGTCAGAGGATTCCACAAGGTGCTGTAAATGTGTTTTGTTTTCTTCTGTATAGTAGTAATTTCTGAGAAAAATTAAGAGATGGTATTCTCTACTTGCCAACTAGTAAAATGCTTAAACTAGCAAAAGGTAGGGAAGATTCAGGGATCAGTTTAATGCAGTTTTATTTCCATGCTTTATCTTTAGAATCCTGACAAGTCATACTGTCACCAAAACATGAAGTTTTACAGTATTTTGAATCAAGAGAAATAATTTCTCAGATAATTTCAAAATGTTGGGTAGGGGTTCCTTTGAAGATGATAGTCTTAAAGAAGAATAGTATTTCCAAAGTTGGGTTGATATTTGGTTTTAGACTCTCCACATTTTCTATGGATTTCCATGAATTGTTCATGGACTACGACTCACTCTTGCCATTAGAACTTCAGGTGCAGATGGAGTGGTTTCCATGGACCTGCTATGAGCCGTGTGCCACAGATTGAATCCATAGACTGCAAGCTGGTATTTGGCATTGTACTAAAGCCACCAGTCTGTTCTGAAATGAGGCCAAACTTCATGGAAAATCCTGATTTCTCATTCTTGTGTCTACACATTTGCCATTTTGTTAAAGATATTTTGCTATTTTTTGCTAGAACATAACTTAAAATTTGATACAAAGCATATTTTAAAATTTATAAAATGCTAAACCTACATTGTCAGCACTGCAAGTATTTCAGATATCTGAATTCTCTTATAATTCTTATATATTTTCCATGCTTTCAAAAAACCTTAGTATTGTTTTAACTCCCTTTTCCATTAAAATGACCTTTTAATTGGTTGGAAATATAGCCTAAATTTGATCTGTTCCAAACATTTGTTCAGCAAAACTGACTGATGATTACCCACTTCTGGATCCAAGCTTATTACAAGAAAAACATAAATGAACCCTCTGTGGAATTTTACAAGATTTCTGGAGAGGAAGTGCAATATCCTCTTTGTAGCACAGAACGAACAGATATCCTAGTCTCAAATTTGCTAC